CTATTCCATCAGATACAGAAAGGAAGGCACAAGTTTCTCTACAGTGCAGATGTCAGCTGCTTGTTTGGAGCAACAAAAGCAAGTTCCATCTCTAGTTCCATCTCTTGTGGTCCACCGCAGGTAATAATGAAGCCTGTATATTTTAGATGCATACGTTCTGGGTAACCAGTTCGCAGCAGGAGATTTTCAGGAGCAGAATCTTAAGTGGAACTGAATTTGGGCATTGCAAAAAGTAACACAACAAATCAGTATTGCAGAATTTTTAAGAGACATCAAAGGTTTCAAGAACTGATTGAACTGAAATCAGCTTGAACCTTTTGGCCTGGATATTCTGGCTCATGCTTCCTCCCTGTGATGAGATTCTATTTCCAGTTACATCTGTCTTCAGCCATTTCCTTTGAAGGATGTCACGGATTTGAAGAAGGTGTCACACCCCACAGGTCTTCCAGAAAACCTTGAGGCTACAGCACTGCAGATGGCTACAGCCAGAACCCATTCTGCAGTTTGGGAACTGAGATACCTCAGGACATCTCAAGCCTTGGACGTGTTTGCTGGAGCACTTCTTATTTCTCAGCACCGAGCTTTACGTAAATGGCAGGTAGGCTTGTGCTAGATGCTGTGGATGCTTGTTCCAAGGGGACCTGAGTAGTGTACAGGTGCAGGGGGGATTTGACCTCATCAAATATTGTGTGCTTTTCTTCAGGAGATGCATCACAAATTAATTCTGGAAGAGTAGATTAACTACGGTGCTGTGGTATCGGTCCTTCAAGGTATGAGCCAACCACTGAGAATGGTGATGGTAGTGCTGGGAAACCTCCTGGTCCCTGTCTGGAAGTCTCACTGCTTTCTTGGCTGGGGCAGGGGAGGGGAATTCAGCACAGTCACTTCCATATGTACCAGGACTGCCACAGTCATTTGTTGCAGTTTGACTGAGACAGCATTGTGCACTAACGGGCAGCGCTCATTTTAAAGTGTTTTGTTCCTTGCAATTATCTGGCCATGCCAACTTGAGCCTTTTGAGCAATTTCTTAATGGAACTTTACTTACTGTTAGAAAACCCTTTGTTTAGATCTGGGGCTTTGTTTGCTTAAGCTGAATGAAGCAATGATCACTTTGGTAACCTAAAAGAAATATTAGCTTTGAGGAAAACAGATAGTCTTCCCTTTAACAGCACCTCCCATCCACTTCTTTCTCTGTCTCTCTCCCAGTTCCTCAGAAGTTTCGTAGACTCAAGTGCTGGTTGCTTGGGGAAGCTCTCTCCATAGAGAGAGGGATGGCTGCACGTTGTTCTCTGGTCAGATTACCTTCTCTAATTAGTTGTTAATCAGACTGTTTCTCTTGTTCTCCTCTGGGAGGGATCTCGGAGCAGTCATGCTCTAGGAATGTATGGCTGAACTATCTGCTGCTGCTCCGACCAGTGGAGTTGGGCCAGCAGAGACTTGGGCCCACTGTTTTTTCCAGGTTTCCCAGAAATGCTTTTCTGAGCGGATTTGCATTGTTTCCCAGAGGAAGGCTGACTCCACTCGATGTGTTAATCTAGTTTTTAAGTGCAAGAACCACATGGCAAAGTGTGAGTGAAAGCTACATCATGCCCGGTTCCCTTGATGGATTTTTATAAGTGTGTGAAACAGTTGATAGTAACTCTTCTAACTTCATCTAGCTATGAGAATCTGTTGGTCATTGCTGACACCTGAATGTGCCTCTCTACCCCATCAACTTCTCAGTATGTAAAACATCTCATATCTCGGTGCCAAATCAAGTAGCCAGAGGGTGTCCTCCTTAGATGCATTGCCTGAAGCTAGTGTGCAATGACCACCTGCTCACTTTTTCATCATGCAGTAGCTTATTTCAGCCTAGCTGCAAGTTTATTTGTAAATCTATTGCAAAGATCATGTCACGTAAGGAGTGGGGGCAACTATGAGCTCCAAGGACTTATCTTTTTGTGGCAGTTAACCTAGGTGATTTCGGGGCCCTGATCCACCTTGCTGGAAAAGTATCCCATGCTACTGTAATTACCTTGGACTGATATTCCTGCTTGGTGGAACTTGTGTGACTCTTTTTACAGGGTGCTTGTCACTGGTGACCCCCCTTGGACTGGGTGGCAGTGGAGGAGGGCGTCCCTGGGGTAGCAAAGGCAATTGCAGGGTGATTAAATCTGCATCCCCACTGTTGGTATCTGACTTTCTTTGTGGAGCTCCTTTTTCAGAGAGATCACGGTTCAGAAGCTTTGTCTCTAATCCTAAAGCACCGTTTGAAACTCAAGGCTTAGGCTCTGCCAGAACTCTTCCATGGAGGGGTGGGGGTTTGCTTCTTCAGCTTTCAGACTTCACTGCAAGTATCAGGCTGCCTGCCTGCATCTCTGAGAACAGGCTGACTCCTGGGCTGCTCTGAAGGTCCCTCTGTGCACAGCTGGCAGCACATCCCTGTTTGTTTAGGGGATGGGGAGCAGCTGTTGTGGCATCTCCCTCCCTGGGGCAGAGGCACACCATGGCCTCATGGCTCCACACACAAGTGCACGCTGTCACTGCCCATGCCCCATGTGAGTCACTTGAAGAAAAAATCCAAGCTGGCTCAGCAATTGTGAGAAAGATCCTGGTAAGGAGCATTTCATGAGCACTAGCCCAGCTCTCCTTTCCCAACATCCATCCTTGTTCTTTCCCACTGTCTGCTGTGGCAGGCAGGCTTGAGAGCAGCAGCCTGCCTGCAGGGCTAGGGGGAAACTGAAGTTAAAACAGGAGGAATATCCTCTGCACAAGGAGGAATTCTTAATTTGGGATGATCATCTACCCTCTGTAGATGAATGGGGGCAGCCTGGGGAGATGGGAGGGTGTAGGTATGAACCAAGATGAGGAGACCAAGATAGGGAAGTGGCGAGCTTCAAAAAGAGGAATAAGGGGTGTGATGGGGACAGCGTTAGGCTGCAGTGGGTCTGTGCACAGATAAAAGCAGGTGGGAGGGGGGAAAAATCCCTTCAGCTAAGTCTGAACAGGCAAGGTTTGAGCTCGTGCACCTGTGCTAGCTCGAGAGCAGGACTGGGTCTGCCCCACCAGGTCTGTTTGCCCCAGCACGCTGTAATCATTCCTGTAAAACACCAGCCAGCGGAGCTTCCATGGAACACTGAATAAATATTTTCTCCTCCGTCTATTTCTGTGAAAAGGGTCTTTTGATGAAAATACCATTCGTAGGTTTGAGAAAACCATCCCCTGAGTAGTTATTTACTGAGTCCTTAAATACACAGGCTGAAGAATTGCCTCCTGTGCAAGTGCTGCCGTAGCCCAGGCAGAAATGTTGGTGTCCCAGCCCCGAGGCTCCACTCATTTCCTCCCTGTGCTGCAGCCGGGGCTGTGGATGCACAAGGGGGGGCCTCTGCCACCGCTCCCTGTCTGACCCAGTGCTGTGGGACACGGCTGGTGGCTCCCACCTGGCCCTTTTCCTTTCCCTCACCCATCTATGTGGTCTTGTGCAGAATGGGGTTGTGAAAGGAAAGTGCCATTGTGAAACTGTGGGAGACATCAAGAGAGAGTGGGAGGCTTCAGTGCCGTGGCTATCCCATAGCACGTGGGGCTGGAGTCAGTCTAGACTGAAAAACCCCACAGATATTTGTTAGGCTGGGCCAAAGGATGTTGTGAAGCAGCCTCTGCTGTCACCAAGGGGGCTACACCTTGGGTGGAGGTTTGCATAACAGCTGGCATGGCAGAAATTATTTCAGATATGCCTTTTACAGAGCAGGACCTATTTGGACCTATTTTGCAGCAGGCCAAATACACGTGCAGGTATATAAAGATAGCTGTGAGGTCGAGGTGCTGCTGGTGAAAGGTTACTATATAAGCTACTGATAAATCCTTGACCTGTTTCATATCTCACTGAGCTCTTTGTAAATTAAGGAGCTGTAAAATACCTGTGAATCCTGAGGAGCAGCAATATTTCAGAAGGGGTGAATAGCCGGAGCGAGGCAGGAGCCAGGAAATGGAGATGGTTGTGGCTTCTTTTGGCTATAGGCATTGTGGATGCTACTCCTGCTCCTTGCCTTCATCTGCTGCGGTCCATTCAAGGTGTTGTAAGGTCTTGATGTGAGCATCTACGAGATGTGCCCAGCCAAGAGCTGAGGAGTTATCTTCTTTGTGCTTGCCTGAGAAGGGATGGAGCCAGGGCTGTGTGAGTTTACAGGTCTGGCTGTACTGCTGGTGGGGAGGAGGAGGTGCTGCAGGCTTTCCAGCTCCCATCTCCATAGCATCATGCTAAAACTGAAGCTCTGGACGTATAAGGAATCCCTTGGTCTTCTAAGTAAGTGAGAGCCTTTAAAATTGTATGTATTTCTTCAGTAAGGTAGTCTTTAAGGGGAAAAAAAGGTTGCTTTTAAATCACTGTCTACATGTTCTTAAGTGCCTAGGGTAGCTCTTAACCTGGTCCTTTGCTCCATAATCTGTTCAGGTGTCTGCCCCTGCCTAAAGGCACATGATTTAGTTTAGGAAGATGAGACTTCAGGTCCTAAATCAAATGGTGCTTACTGAAATATAATCCTTCAGCTGGATGCTGTAGCAGAGATTCATAGCTACTCATCCACCAGCCTCTAGCAGTTTATTGTTATTTCTAGTGTGGCTAAATAACTGAGTTATCAGCACCAGATGAGTTCTGTAATTAATTGTCTGTGATAATTTGTACCCTCTTTTTCCTATTAATCACGACTTTTTCATTACTTAACAAGTTTCAGTATTGTTTTACATGATCTTAACTAAGCCTACTAGCATGTTTTGGTGGTTTTCTCTCCATTAACAAAGAACTGCTAAAATGGTGCTGTTAACAGCTCTGCAGTGCTGGAGGAGGGCAGAGCCACCAGAACCTACCAGAGATTCTTGTTGCACGCACTCAGCCATTGTGTGGATAGAAATGTTGGCTGAAATACTTGGTAACGCTTCTAATTTATCAATATTTCAACATGTCGATACCAGGAACTTCTGGGGGGTTTAATGATCTAACCCAGTCTTTCTGCATGCTTTTAGGAAGGGTTGTTGAACAGATCCCTTTTACATTACCTGTACTACGTGAAGAGGTTTGCATCCAACCCAGCAGCCAGCTCTTCACACTTACACACAGGCAGGTGAGTTTGAACCAAATTGGTTTGTATAAATAGTACCTTGCTTTTTCAAAAACCTCAAAGTCCCCATAGATGCATAACTGAAGTTGTAGAGGACTCCACCAGTAACCTAGCTCCAGCTTGCCCTTTGTCCCAAACTCCTCCAGCTCTGGCGCTAGGTTTGTGTGGGTAGGAACTGCCTATTTTTAATGCTCACTCTGAATTGTGTGGTTTGAGGGGTGGAAATTCTGCCTCCCTACCAGGCATCCTTCATTTCCCTTAGTTCCCACCCTGGTCTCATAATAAAATAATGTCGATTGTGCTTATATTCAGAAAGCCAAGGGGCAGAGGAATTTGCATCCTTGTCTCTCCAGCTTGCCCTTGACCACAGAGGTGGTCCAGTAGTGTTGCTCTAATGCCGTGTGGATACCTCGGTGTTCCTGTGAAAATAGCATTTCACTTTCGTCCATGATCTCACGTGGGCATTGCCAATTAATTTACTCATCCACAGAGCTAGCTATTGATCTTCAGGCTCACTTTTGGGTTATCTTAGTGCAGGTTTCCATGATAAATGCACGTGTGTGTCTTCTGCTACTTGAAAAGCTCGGTGTGATCAATAGAGCCCAGAAGATGCCCTATTCCCAGCATGGGACCTTTTAGCTCTCTTCAGCTACCTTAAGCCTTTTTTTTGCATCACCATGGCTCTTGTCTTAAAGTACCAAAGCTCATGGTCACAGGAGACCAAGGTTCAGATGCTGAAAGCAGCAAAGATGACAAACCCCAATATGTTTCATGCAGTGGGCGAGGCACCAGGCTGCCCTTACTGTGGTGGTACGTTGCATGAAAAAACACTGGAACTGCCAAAAAAAGCATGAAATCATAGATTAGTTGCTTATCAAACAAACCTCCTGCTCAGAATGGGTAAGGAATAAGTTTTCTTGTATTGCCAACAGGCTTTTTTGAAGAGGGTCTCCCTAAAGGATGCTACACATTGATATATACGTGTATATAGGCATAGGGGGGGAGATGTGCAGAAACTGTATTGGATGTAGCAATGGGTCTTAAGGAATTGCAGCAACTCGAGCGTTTTTCTCAGTAGGTAAAAGGACTTAATGTGGCTGAATTTATCCGGGAAGACACTGGCAGTGGGGAGGTCTGTAGGTTGCTGTACGCCAACCTTTGTTAGCTTTGGGGCTGCTGGCTGCTCAGGGCTGGCAGCACTCGTTCACGTGGGTGGTGTGACACGGGGTCCTCCACATCTACCGGGTGCTGCCCTAGCCAAGGCTGCATTTTGAGCTGCTGTTTGTCACTGCGGACGAAACTAAATGGGGCTGGATGCTCTATTTAAAGGGGAGATCATAATAGTACTTGCTATAGTTACAGACTTCCCACCGCGCCGAGGAAACGTATGACAAATCCAAGCCAACTATTTTTCCAGATTTTGTGCCAGGGCTCAGTTTGCATAGGTGGCAGTACTGGAACCCCTCCAGAGAAAGCTTTTTATCTGGCCACTCGCTTTCTCCTAGCTGTTCTCATCTCGAATTCTGCTCAAGTCCAGTCTAAACCCGCCGTAGCTGACAAACCCGAGCGCTCTGCTGTCCAAACTGGCTCGCTGGCTTCAAACCTACCGCAGACTGAGATGAGTGAACCCCAGATAAAGGCAGAGCTGGGCTCTTCCATTTCCCCTGCTTGTCAGAGCCAAAGTCCTTTTCCAACAGCAAGCTGCGGAATGTGGGTTGTTGGCTGCTGGCTTTCTGCACAAACTTGTAGGTTTTCACCATTGGCATGGGCAAGATGCTATCCCATAATACACTGAAGCCCACCAGGCAGGTAGGTGGGCAAATCTGAATTTGCTTTTGTGCTTTTCATGCTTCCTACAGGCAGCTCAGTGGTGAGAGGGGCTCCAGGGGTGACTAGGCACCTCTGCCCTTGGGAATGGGCTCTACACCTCAGCTGGGTGACTGATGTGTCTGAGCAATTAATAATAAACTTTGTAATGAGTTCCCAGACAAAAGCTCCATTGTACTGAAGCTTTGGGGAACTGGGATGTTGTCCAAATATCTGTAGATACTGGATAGCCTGATTCCACAAATAATAGAGGGGAAGGTCTGGAACTCAGAATCTCACAGTCGTTTGGGTTGGAAAAAGCCCCTTAAGAACATCAAGTCCAACCATCTTACATAATGTAGGGACACTTGTGTAATGCAGGCATGTATCGCATGCACTTGCATGAAAAAACATCACCTTGGTTTTGCTTTTTGAGCGTGGCCACCCACTCTGAGCCAGTCCATTTCTGGGAACCAGAGCGCTCAGGAGCTGAGACCTTTTGGTGTGGGGAGGTGTAGCAGCAGCCTGGGGAACACGAGCTGCTGCTTTGAGACCTGTGCCTTCCCCCTCTGTCTGCGGGGAGCTGGCAGACAGCCAAATGTGGGGACACCCCGGTGAAATTCAGGGTTGTGAGCAGGGATGGCAGAGATGGGGGGACTTGTAAGCGGCTGAAGGCAAAACAAGTTGAGCCTCTTGTATGCCTTGAGAGCAGTAGTTAATTGCATAAAATTCCTGAAGCCACTGGTTATCTAGGGGCTTGAGGTGCCTCTGGAAACCTCTGCTGATTGATTTTCTTTATATTGGAAAGCAAATCTGAAAGCAAAGGAAGGATCAAAGTCTGGTGACTGAGGATATCCTGAGCTTCTGCTCAAGCATTTTGAAGGCTGAGGTTTCCCTTCCCCCCAGAGAATATTCCTTTATTCTGAGTTTTGAAAAATGAGAGCTCACCACATCCAAAAGAGCAGCTAATGCCACGGATCTGGCTAAGCTGATGAGGGATCTGATGTGCACAGGTCCCATAGACTAACACATGGCACAGGGGTCCTGCTGGAGAGGGTTCCTGCCTGCAGTGGCTTAGCCCAAAGCCTTCAGCAACCATTTTGACTTCTTTTTCACTACAAAGGGCAATTGCATCTTTTATATGCACTTGGCTCCCTGTTTGTGTTCAATCTGTTACATTTTAATGGCTGTGGTGGAGTTGCACTGAAAGCCCTAATGACTTAAAATCCCAGCTAGTGGGGAATTAAGAGCACAGCTATGTATGACCTTGATCTAATGTGGTTACCTCTGACAAAAGCAATTTTCCTTTGCCTTGTCCATTTAGAGTATGGCTTTTAGGTTGTAACACATGTACTGTATCTATACCAATTAGTTTTCAGGATGAACAGATGTGTAAAATTGAAAAGGCCTTGATAGTGCCCTGGTCTCAGCTGAAAACACACCAGTCAGCAGCCCGGGACCTCTGGTCACTGATGATTTAAGGTAGGGCTGAACTCACCCCTCTAGCCAAGACCCATCAATTTAATCTGACGAACTCATTAGTGACTTCTCCCACTGCCATGACTCTCCCTGCTGCTGATCTTCCTGCTGGTAGGTGGCAGTTCAAGATCACTGCTTCTGTGTCATTTGTGGTTGTGTCTTAGCCTTGCAGTCACACAAATCCTTCAGTGCAAAGGCTTCTGTGTACGCCTGCCCTACCGACTTCAGCAGGACTCCTTGTGCCCGAGGCATGTGTTTAGGTAACTCAGCAGAGCAGGGTTGGACTACTTATGAAAGATTTTCCTCTGTTCTCTAGCCCAGCAGAAACAGGAGGCGTGCGGAGCTGGAAGGCATCACCAGTGGAAGTGAAGGGGCCTCGAAAACCGGGGGTTAGAAAATTAAACCAAATAATAGGACCAGCAGCGTAAGGTGGAACTTAGCAGTAAGAAGTGAAATGCTGGCTAAAACAAATACCCGTACAAACCTGTGCAGCTGGATTGATCGGGGAGCTTGATTACTCATCCTTTCCTGTCTAGACAGACCCAGTTTTCAGATTTCATTAAAAAAGCTAATATTTATTGTGCCTGATGGCTGTCTTGGTGCTGGGGTGAAGGTTCGTGAGTTACTGTCAAAGTGATTGGGAATGGAGTTTGGGAAGGCATTAGTAAAACTGACTTAACCTTTTGCTGTAGCTCTGTGGGAGAAACGCGCTCCTGTCTCTGGGGCTGTAAGACGGAAGCCGCCTCTTTTTCTGAGGCCTTTTCTCAGGTCTGTAATTACACACTGAGCTGAAGCATATCACCATCCCTTACAGCAAATGCCTTCAGCATATTCCACACAGGCAGTGGAAGAGCTGCTCTGAAGCTGAGTAGCTACGGTCAGTTTGCAGGATGCTTTTCGCTCCCTCCTGTTTTAGGAGTGCTGTGCTGGCTGGAACCAGATGCTCTTTGTGTTTCCTTCTCTCATGGATGAGGATGGTGAGGGCAGGTAGAGAGCCAGTATTTTCAAAAGCTTTGAATGAGCTGAGAGGGCTATGCTCAGTGTTTGCCTATGAAGGATTTAATTTTTCGCTTTCAGACTAGAATAGGAAAGGCAGGTGGTGACCTGAGTGACCTGGGCCCCAGGCTTTACAAGGTAAGATGACAGGGAAGCTGGCCACTTATTCAGAGCATGCCTAGGCAAGGCAAAGGATTTATTTTCCTTTTTACCTATTGCACTGTTTGTGGCATGATTTTTTTTTTTTTTCACTTAGTGGGGGTGAGAAGTGGGGATGAAGAACCACAAAGTTGGCTGTGTGCTGAGAGGTCTTTATAGGAGCACGCTTGGCCACATCACTTATACATCAGCTGTCAGAGCTGAGGACTCTGATTTTAATCAGACCAGGGTGTCCTGATAGGAAAAGGACATAAATACCGGGGGCACAGAAGAAGGTCCCAACAGCAGGCAGAGTAGGTGCTGTCAGAATTATCTCTTTCCTTGGAGAAAAGGAGCCCAGTCATGTTTTTCTGTGTCTTTGAATCTAGTCAAAATGGTTAAATAAATAAAATTCTTCCTTTAAAAAATTCTTTCCTTTAAAACTTACATTCCAAAAAGTCTTCCTTTTTTCCCCCAAACTATTTATCTCTTCTGATTTTTCTAACTTGTAATTAATGTCTCGTAATGTCTGTTAAACAGCTGGGCAAAATATAAAGGCTCCGAATAGACTGAAAATACTCAAG